AATCTTGCAGATTTATTCCATTTAAGAGTGGATGCCTTTTATCTAAGTATCTGTTTTCGATTACAGACGCCTTTGTAAATTACTCGCACAGTACCCAGCAGTGTTCTGCCCACAAGTCTTTTAAGGACACGAACATAACAAGAATGTTGTATGAAAAGCTGGGTGATCTTTTTAAACCGGTGAGATTGAAAATGTGGTCCGTGGACAGGCAGCTTCCGCATCACCTGGGAGCTTCTTAGAAATGCAAATTCATGGACCTCACCCAGACCTACAGGATCAGACTCTGGGAGAGGGGCCCAGCCGTGTGTGTCTGACGGAGTCATCCACCAGGTGCTTTGAGAAGCACTGTGTAAACAAGGGTTAGCACTTATTAAGTGCTTACTGTGTGTTCCAGAAGCGGTGCTAAGGACTTGATGTATGTGATCCCTTTCAATGCTTGTGACAACCATGTGAGGAGGACACTAACCACAGCATCTATTTTCTAGATGAGAGACTTGCTTTTCAAAGTTGAACATAAAAATTGGCGAAATCCAGATAGGCCCAGCTCTAACGCCAAAGGTTCTACCTTCTTTTGGGGCAAGGAAGAGGGTTCTTACGGTGAGGCCTTATTGGAATGCAGAATTTCCACTGCAGAAGTATAATTTTTACTGCAAGCCACAAATGCACTTAGTTGGCATGATACTTCACAAATGTCAATGGTCTGTCATTGAACATTTGGGCAGCAACAGAAGTGACTCAAATATAAACACCACATTTAAACATATTTAATTATAGAAGCCTATAGGCTTTGCAGACTCGAAAGTGTACCTTCTCTCTACTTAAGACCATAATTAGAAGCAGAGATATTTGTCTGTAATCAAATTTAGAAAGACAAGGAAAAAAGTTTCAGCTTTCAGTCAGAAGCCAAAATTTGGAACAGAGGGCCACTACAGCTACATTAAATCTCAAACTCACTGACTTGCGGGGAGGGGGAGGTTCAGGGGAGAAAGACCGCTTTTCATAATCCTAACAAATGCAGCTGAAGGAAGAATCTGGTGAAGCCAGCTTTTGTTGGAAAACTTCTACACAGGCAGAATTTGAATACGTGGTGGTATAAAAAAAAGGCTAAATCTGAAGTTGTGCCTGTCTAAAAACATGTTCAGGGGCGCCTGGGTGGCTCAGTCGGTTGAGCGACTGCCTTCGGCTCAGGTCATGATCCCGGAGTCCTGGGATCGAGCCCCACATCGGGTTCCCGGCTCGGCGGGGAGCCTGTTTCTCCCTCTGACCTTCCCCCCTCTCATGCTGTTTCTCTCTCGCTCGCTCTCTAATAAATAAAAAAATAAAATCTTAAAAAAAAAAAAAAACAAAAAAAAACCCAAACATGTTCAAGGAACCCAAGCCCACCTAGACTCCCCCCGGCCAATGCAAGACCTCCAGATTCTCTCCAGAGGTAAAGCATTTTTGCTGACTATTCAGCGTGGCTTTTTGTGAGGCGGGGTGCACAGGCCAAGAGGAGGACCAGGAGGGTGGGAGGGCAGGAGAAAACAAAGGGATTAGAAGAAACTAACCATTTGCCCATTCCAGGCCTGCTCTGTGAACTCAGTGCTCCCACCCACTAAATTATCAACCTGGCTTGCCAGGGGTGCTCGCATGCTGGGCTAATGGGGCACGCTCAAGTTGGACTAGTTCTGAACGCTGCCGAGTGCCTTCCAGGGCCCAGCACCTGCAGATGCTTCCTCCAACAGCTGTTCTCCACGGGAGTTCTAGCAAGTGCCCGTCAGCCGGGACGGGGAGGCACTGAGGGCTTCCAGACGGCCCACACGGGCCAAGTGCTCAGCGATCTTGCGGAAAATCGATTCCCAAGGAATTGTTGTGTTGTGGGGATCAACAGCACTGAAACACACGGGGACAGCTCTCGGCCACCTCAGCTCTACCTCTTCATCTCAAATGACCCCTCACGTAAGGAAACTTCCTGTTGTGATCGTTGAGAGGTCTCTTTCAACTACATGCTATTCTTCGCTTTACCGTGGTCCTCCTTAGAAATCTTGACTTCTTTGAAAGAAAGATAAGTGTCCAACCGGGGAACCATTTATTGCTCTCATTAATAATCTCTGACACACAATTTCCTTCCAGAACCTGACCTATCCACCTTTCCTTGAGGAAGTATTATTGCCTTGCAGGCCAACGTGAAGGACACCAGGAGGGGAGTAGGCCTTCCCTTCAGCCTGTCCCCACCCCTCTCCTATGCTGCTCGTCCTCAGCGCCCAATCCAGGCAAGGGGCCTTGAAACACGGCCAAGGTGAGGGGACACAAAGACTCCCGGCCCCTAGGTCAGAGACTAAAAGGTTCTGAGTAGAGATTTCCTCTCATAAAAGGAAAGCTTCAGAACATGCTCGAAGGAAAAAAAAAATGCCAAAAGAAACGGTCTTTCCTTAACTGCTTCGGTTGAAGGGATGCTCCTAGCATCAAGCACAGCAAGGGCAGGGGAGTCTGGCCTCGGACGCCGCATGTGCTTTTGGGACTGGGTGCCACTGCTTTAGGCTTCAGGGGTCAGCTGCTTAGAGTGATGTGTTCGGGGAACGGCGGACAAATGAATTCACAACATCCGTTACACCTCCGGGGTGTCTCCAGCCCTTCTGCCCCTCCGGTCCGCCCACCGCCTTTGGGTGGCTACTTCCTTTCAGTACGGACATGAAACACATACAAAAGAGCAGCCCTTGGAGAAAACGTTCCAGAGAAGTCACACGCCGGGTAGCAACTTTATTCCCAGGGGGGTCTTGATGGCCGAGACTGAGGTCAACTTCACCACCGCCGGTCACTGCGCATCTGAAATACGTGCTTCCTTTGTCGGGCACAAGTCAGGCGGCAGTGCTGGGCTGGGCACTTGGCAAAGAGCCAAGCAGGTGTCGGCTCCTGCGCATGCGCGCGGACTGAAGCCCGTGCCGTGGCAATGCACCAAATCCTGCGACGGGGCCACAGACCCTCTGCTTCCCAGCCTCCTGCCTGAAGTCACTCCGGGGGCAGGCCAACTAGAAACGCTGCAGTAGGCAGGAAAAGCCCAGAAAGCCTGAGGACTCTGAGTTTTCCAAGCCCCCAGCGACCGTGAAGGGACGGTTTTTCTAGAAGAGAGGAGGACCAAGGGGCCTCAGGCACACATGCGTGAGGCAAACCTTTGCGCCGCCGTGTTTCACCCGGATACTCCTTCGACTTTAACGCAGATGAATGAAGGCAAAGGAAAAGAAAGAACAATGGAGGAAAAGGTCTTCCCTTGCTTCATAGCAACAGCTGGGGTGACCTCCTAGTCGCGGAATTGTGCATCGGAAGGCGTCGCCTGCTGGAAAGAAGCACTGACCCCTGCTTGCGGCGGGGGGAAGGCATGGGTGGCACGTCCAGGGATCCGAGGCCAAAGCAGCCTGCCCTTCTCTGCGCCTGCATCCACTTATTCTGGCAGAGCTGCGCTGCATAAGGCACGAAGCCCACGTTTTCCCACGCCCCAATGGAGGACGTTAGGTTTTAAAGAATGCGAGTCGGCCAAGCACAGATGTCAAATGTAATGAAAGATTTCGGGTTCTGGACTCCCAGTCACTGTCATCCAGAATTGCGAGTGCTCTCTCTCTTTCTCCCAGTGCTAGAGCAGATGAAGTTGGGGATTTTGCTCAGTCTTGCTTTTGGTTCTGCAGGGTTGCATCAGCCCCTGGCCTCTCAGCCCCAATGGCCTGTTGTCAGTCCTAACAAAGCCCACCACCGACCCAGCCACCTGGCTATGTGGGCAGGTGGCTATGTCTGCATAAAAGCCTGGCTCTCGTTGGGACTATATATGCCATTCATGATAAGACTTTTGCTCCCAGTATGTGTTCGTCTTGGAGGAAAAAAAGATCAAATTGAAGAAGCAATTAGGCTTCTAGCTGTGGTTTATATTTTAGAACCATAGAGGGGACGAAGTGTAATTTAAGACAACCTGACATCTTCCCATTCTGGTCCCACTTTTTGACAAGCACCTGCTGCCCATGCTCCCAACCATTCAAAAACCTATGGAGCAAAAGAAAACTGGTGCTAGAACATTCTGGCTTTTCAGCAGGATCGTGGCAATACAGCTACCTCCTGGCTCAGTGTTTGGAGGGAGCAGGGAAAAGGCAAGAGGCTAAGAAGAGAAACTGAGTACCCTCTTGAGCAGTAAAGACTAAAGGGCCAACCTTTAGAATACGGGTCAGCAAATTACAGTCAGTCTTCAAGCCAAATCCAGCCTGTTGTCTGTTTCTGTAAATAAAGTTTTATTGGAAAAAAGCCATGCCCATTCATTCACACTGCCTAGGGGCTTTTGGGCTCTGAGGCAGAGCTGAACAGTTGCCACAGAAACATGGCCTGCAAAGCTCAAAACATTTACTAACAGGCTCTTTGCAGAAAAAATTTGCCCACACCTGTTTTAAAACAACTAGAACTTCCTTTAAGGTTGGACAAGGCCTGGGCAAGAGGATTCAGTTAATCTGTAACAAATTCCGGCAGACATTTTGGACAGGGGAGAGAATCTCAAAGGCCTAAGGAGTTAGTGCTCTGCATTTCCTTGTTAGGATAAACAACAACAGGCGGCCTTCAATTTTTCTGCGGCATCCTTGCGATATTACCCGAGTATTAAATGTTACACTGTCCCATTCCTACAGATTCTAGGCAGTTTTACATTCCCTCATTTACTTAAAGATTTTATTTATTTATTTTAGAGAGGGGTGGAGGGAGAGGGAAGGAGAATCTCCAGCAGACTCCCTGCTGAGTGCGGAGCCCGACATGTGACTTGATCTCAGGATCCCGAGATCATGACCTGAGCCGAAATCAAGAGTCGGCCGCTCAACCGACTGAGGCACCCCGGCGCCCCTGCACTCCCTCATTTATGTATGGGCAGTAAGAGCTCTGACTGTCCCATCCTGACATCTACGTGCCCCCTTAGTTCTTCGTGAGTCAGGAGCAGGTGACGCTTTCTACCTTCCACAGCAGCTGAGTGTTGGTGGTGCCAGAGGCCATCACAGTACCTGTTGGCCAAAAGCTGGGACCTGGTTCCTGAGGGTGAGGTCAGGTAGATGGCCAGGTCTCCCCTCCTGGGATGGGTGATGGTTATGCGCACAACTACGTGCTCCAGGTAGTTGACGTGGTGGTTGGGGTTATCAGAACAGCCCGAAGCTTTGTAGATGGAGCGCACTGCACTGTTGGGGCGGATGGTCCTGCAACAGAGAGAGACAGAGTGTGAGCAGAGCACACGCTGGGGCCGGGCTGGGTAAACCTGCGGGCCCGGAACGATGATGTGATGTACCACAAACCGCTGGTGGCTGGATACTGAACGACAGAGTGCCATCACCCAAGGTCACTTCAGGGATTAACCCTGGTTATTAGAGAGTAGGAAAGATGCAAATGAGAGAAAATGGCGGAATTAAAGTTCTTTCATCGTCCTGCAGGGAGGGCTCTCGAACTTGAGGGTATCACCTTGTTAAAACGCAGAGCGCTGAGCCCCTGCCCGCAATGTCTGATTTAGTGAGGCTGAGGTGGGCTCCAAGAATGTGCATTTCTCACAAGTTCCCAGGTGACAGTGATGTTGCTGATCTATGGAATATCCTTTTCGGGCTACTGTTGGAGGGTACGGTGGTATGGGGGAGGCTTGGGGATTGCCATGACCTTGGTTAAATCCCTGGTCTACCACTTCCTTGCTCTGTAACCCAGGGGGCACAGGCCTCCTCTGGCCTGAACATTCCTGGCTTCTTCACTAGCTTCCACTGTCCCCCATGAACACTGGGCTCCCGTCACACTGACGTCAGTTCAAGTTGGGGGTGATTCGTCTCCCACCTCAGAAACTCTGCCTGAATTTTTTTTTTTTTTTTTTTGCTTTGCTGTTGTTCCTAGGGCTGACTCTCCTTCTTCCTTCATGGTCAAAACTTGAATTTCACTCTCTGAGACTGTCATTGAACCATAGGAAAGATATGCCCCCTACTTATTTTCTATCTGTTTTACTTCCAACCTATCGTTACCTTTATATACTGTGCTAAAAATAGAATTCGTAAGTACACGTTATAGGGTGCAGTTTCCAGACTATCAAGTTTAGTTTTTTGGCGTACGCTGACTTAGGGAGAACACTTGCACCATGAAATAGAAATACTGGCTGAGTTGAAATCTTAAGAATGCCCATCTGTAAGGGTCCTCAAAATCCCCTGTTAAGAGATGCTTTTAAGGATCCTTGGGTCCTATTATGTGGATTTAACAGCTTAGCATCCTAGACATTCTATGAGAATTTTACAATTATGTTAGGAAAAAAAAAAACCACGACACAAGCTTTCGGCTTCCACGGACAACAAAGGGCCGTCTGGAGCACTTGTGCTGATCTCTTTCAGGAAATTGCTATGCCGTCTGCTTGCCGCGAGCATTACTTGATTTGTCGGTCTGTGCTCTCCACGCACACGTGCTGCTGAGGAACAGTGGTCCACTTCTCTGCTTCCGTCACCATGGCTTCCGCATCCATCAGTCCAAATCCATACAGGTGGCTCACTATGGGAGGCAAGAGGCTGGTCAGCTTCATGGAAGTTAGGATCAGCCTAGGCTGTCTATGTTGAGTTCTGGCCAAGAGCCCAGACACATCCCTGTGGGATCCTAGCATTCTTTCTAGGCATGATTAAAAAACAAAAAACAAAACTACACATGTGAACAAACCTAACAAGATTATAAAACAGATGTCTGTTATTCAGTGATGACATATTAGGACTAGTAACAGGACTATCATTTATGGATTATTACCACTGGCAGGCACTAGACTGTCTTTCTCCATGTAACCCCCTCCACGATCTTAAGATGTTGGTGCTATTGTGATCATCATTCATGAGACGAGAACACTGAGGAACAGAGAGAGACCCAAGACCGAGTAGCAATTCAGTGGTTGAGCTGGATTCTAACCCACGGAGTTTTGCTCCAAGGCCTTAATTGTTAACCACTTCAAGTGATGACCTCATCAATTTTGTAAGATAATGAATAGGTTCAAAAAGAAGGGACAGTGTCCACACCCTCTCCTGGTTCAACAAGAACGTACATGCAAGAAATACCAGTTTTCTGACATATCCAGGAGTTAGGCCGAACATCTCGGAAGACAACAATTATTACCTTTCTTCCAGCATATGAAAAATTGATTAAACTTTATGCATGCAATATTTGGAGGCCTCTAGACTTTTATGCCAGTGTCTTCGAATGTTGTAATCTTTTGGTTCTCAGTAAGAACACCTATTGATCTAAATCTGAATTTGATATAACGGTCTCAGAAATTTCAATCACATATAGGAATATTTTTTTAAATTAATTAATTTTTTTTGCCCCATCCCCCCACTCCCCTCCCCTCCAGCGACCCTCAGTCTGTTTCCTACATATAGGAATATTTTAACGATGATACGGCAATATCCACATGTGTAGTTCTTTTTAAAAAATACTTTAAAATCCCAGTGAATACTTAAAAAATCTCCACCCTGTATTAATCTGTCTCATATCTTTATATTTAACACAAAGTCACATTGCTACCAGATTTGTTGCCTAAAACATTTTCCTTATAACATTATTTTACATGAAAATGTCTGTCGCTGTCCATGCTTATGGATTATTTCAGTACTTCCGCTTGGAATTCAAGACACTCTATGATATCATCCCATTCTACTTGCACAACAACATCCTCACCAAAACCTGGGCTTTAGAAAGGTCATTCCTTTACAGTTCCCAGTCATACCTTGCTCTTTCTGCCTCACTGCTTTGGCTCATGCTGAGACCTTGGCCTGGAATTCCCTCCCTCCTGCTCTCTGCAGAGTCGCATTCTACTCCTAAGTTCTGGAAGGCTTAGCTAGTCTGTCTTCTCCTTGAAAAATCCTCTGACCAATAAAAGTCAATAGACATTTACTGAAACTCAGCCATCTGTCATGAAGGAACTTTTCTCTTTTCAAGTCCCTATAACTCTAATCAGTTTGTCAGTCCATCTGCCCTTCTGCACATCTAGCCATCCGTCCATCTACCCACACATCCATGCATCTGTGTGTCCATCCAACATTGCGTGAGTGCCTTCTATGTGCAAGGCATTGTATTACACACTGCACTTTTAATTATGTGTCATTAATTGAATTACTAATTAATTCTGTCAACACATATCTTTGTACCCCAACTATATTGTAACCTGCTTGATGGCAGGAACTAGGACTTATATTTCTTCATATGTTTCATGGGATTTAGCAGAACTTTATACAGATGGGGAAAAAATGATTGCATATAAAAAAGGAAAACTGTGTTAGGGTTTGGAAATACTGCTTTACCTCTGCTAATTTGCTAATTATATAATTCTTGGCAAATGAGATAAAACAGCTAACCCACAATTTCCTTGTGATATGACTGGCTATCCCGTCACCATTACTAAGCTGATTAAGTATTGTTATTTGTCCCATGTGAGAAACTCTTCATCAAGACCTATACAAATGTAAGGGCTCATTATTATACTATCAGGTACTCAGACAGACAGGACATACTGAGTAAAACTGAATAAACCTACCTAGAGATAGCAAGAATATATGTGGGATTCTTATACTTGTATTTTTATAACTTCTATTATAAATGATTATTTCTTGATTAAAAAGAGATGTATATTCATTGTAAAAACCTGGAAATACATCCAGAAAAGAATGAAGAAAGCGAAACTCATCAATAACCTCATCACAAATTGCTAACTGTATATTAACAGGTCTGTATCAACAACTCTAGATATTTAGTTTTAGTTACAGGACATGATGCGAGGAGACTGCACCTCCTCAGTTAAAACAGAGTCTACAGGTGACCCACGTGTTATAGGAGAAAGGTCAAGCGTGGGTTTAAGGAAACCGAATTGTCGAGAACTCTTATGCAAGTTCATGGAAATCCCAGGTTCTCACTTATCACTTAACCATCAATACAGGCAATGATCTGTATCATTTCATCATGAACAGTCCAAGGCACTGTTTTCCCTAGAGGACCTGAAATTATCGCCAAATACGTTTTGCTATGCCAGGCTCTCTAACTCTGCACGGTACCCAAATATCCCCATGCTGGTGTCAAGTGGTTTTAAACGAGCACAACTTATCATTTGATCTCAGTTTAGGGGAAAAAAAGATGAAAGATTTGATTGGCAAGTGGGGGGAGGGGAAAAGGCTGGGTGGGAACCTGGCGGGTGTGTGGGGGGGAACATGAGGGCTGCCTGGACTCTGGCTCAGCTGCACTTGCGCCGCCCCCCCATCCCCAATAACTGCCACCCTAACAACCATTAGGACATAAATTAACACCTAGAGTCATCAAATACAGCAAACACTTCAGGCCTGAGGAACAACCACTTGAGTTAAGTAGAAAAGCACCTTGAGTCTTTATGAAGGCCATAAATTTGTTTCCTTTTCTGAGTCAATCCCTACCCTCCAGAGACGATGTCCATTCATGCAACACTCAAAGGAGACGTTCAGAAAAGAGGCTGGCCAGTTCCAGTTAAACTACAAACTGGCAGGTGAATGGAAAAAAACACTGTATTAATAGAATATTAATAAATGAAGGAATTCCATTAGATGAGTAAAGGCCATTCAGTCATGGAGACTTTTAGTATTTTAAAATACTGGAAATCGTGTATTTGTCCACAATCATGAAACCCAGCCTGAGAAAAAAAGAAAATAAATGTAGATCTTTTTATACATTTATTAATGGGGGTGGTGCTGTTGGCAATATATCAACTCCATTTATTCAGAGTGGCAATTATTTGTTTGGTTTTCAGTAAATACTAAGGAGAAAATAATCACCCAATGAACGCATTTGGCAGATGAACTCTTTTAAAACATGATGTCAACCGGGGAAATAGCTATTAAGTAATTCGGAAGGATTAATATTTTTTTAAAGATATGATTATAACTGACATATAATTTTTTAAAATATAACACAAAGTTTTCATACCCTAAAATGACCTATAAATTCAGAAACAGATCTTTTTTTTTTAAAAAAAGTTTTTTAAAGATTTTACTGATTTATTCGAGAGAGCACACAAGCAGGGGGAGCGGCAGGCAGAGGGAGAACAGACTCCCAGCTGAGCAGGGGTTCAATCCCAGGACCCTGAGATCATAACCTGAGCTGAAAGGCAGGCGCTTAACTGACTGAGCCACCCAGGCGCCCCCAAAACAGACCTTTCTTTTGGTGACTATCTGGGTCAAGTCACCTCGGCCTTCAAACGGTTACTGTGATGGGCCACAGGAAGTATGAACAGCCACCAGCGTCCGCAGAACACCTGGCTAAGAGGAGACCTTCTGTACGTACTTGAAAAGTGAATGAACGCAACTGACAGAAGAGAAATTTTATTTAATTCACCAAGCGGCATAAAGCGTTTACATGAGAATTACGAGGGGAATCTGGAGCTCTGTGCTTTTTATCACTGACTTCTGTAAAGTCTTCATTAATGCACCAAATTTATTTAAGTATAGAGCCAATATTCACATTTTACAAAATTATGATTAGAGCAAATATACCAGGCGAACAATTTGTGCCATCCATACCTAAATGAGTTTTATTTACGCACACTTCTCATGCCAAGCTCAGAGCAAAACCTGAGCCTGAAAACAACCTTATGAGGATCAAGTAGAGCCATCCCCGGGCAAGCTTTGGGTAAAACGCAAAACTCTATGAAGTTAGATACTAATAATGGTGTGAGGAGGAAACCAAGCATCTCATACGGAATTTTCATTTCTATGAGTGTGGGCGGCAAACATTCAATTAATAGTTTGAACATTAATTAAGATTCAAAAATCAATATTTAGAAAGCTATCGAGGGAACAAAGCATGTTTACAGAGTAATTAAAGATCTTGAGGCAAAGTTATTGAGGTAGATTTCAGGAAGTAGAAGGATGCTGGGCAAGCTGAAAAAAGGGAATCTGCAATACTTGAATAACATTATGTTTGCCTCATTAGGCTGCATGGCTGTTTATGCAGATAAGCAGAGAAAAGTGGAATTGTCTTGTGCCAGAAGTATAGCTAGTTTTTACTCTAAGGAATCTGAAGGCTTCCCTGCTTGCACCAGCTAGATGAATGAGAGAAGGCAAGAAAATAGATAATGTTCTCCAGCAGGTGTATTTCTACTTTCTGATGAGACCAGAAGTGCTGAGGGAAGCTAATCGTTAAGCACGTAAGGAAATGACTGCATAGTTTGGAAGTAGATACACTTAGCTGAAACAATAGCTCTAGCTTGGAGGCCTTAACAATTCCAGAGAAAAGCGAGAAACCTCAGCAGGAAAAAAAAAAAAATTTTAAGTTCCCGAGCACAGGAAGCTATAACCAGTGAAATTTGGGATACTTTTATGTCTTTTTAGTGGAGCATCCTTACTGGAGCCAGCTATTTTTTTTTTTAAGATTTTATTTATTTATTTATTTGTTTGTTTGTTTGTTTGTTTGACAGAGAGAGCAGAGAGCATGAGCAGAGGGGAGCAGCAGAGGAGAGGGAGAAGCAGGCTCCCCAATGAGCAGGGAGCCCA